TGTAGGGGGCAAACTTAAATTAGCTTAAAGGTAATATGCAGCAGCATGATCTATTCTTGTTGTTGTTATTTTATTCGCAATACTGTATTAGCAATGTAGTATGATGAATATGATACATGGAAACAAAGCTAAGGTTTAAGAGTTTGTTTGTGTAAGATGATGGACCATGAGAATGTGAACTACAGAGTTCCAGGGGGTGTGGAGAGTTGGGTAGATATATAAGAGAAACTCCAACGGTACCTGGATGGGATTTTATACGTGACTAGATGGGGACACTAGTCACCATGAGGAGTTGAAAGTGCCTAGTGTGAGTGACTGGTCAATTGCAATATGTTTAATTCAAAGAGAGAATTAAAGTAGAAGACTTGAGATTTTAAAAGGATGTGTATAATTTGCTACTTTCTTAATTGATGCAATGGCATAATACTAGGAGTAGTTATCAAGTCAATAATTGGAAATAAGGACATGAACATTAAACAAGAAATATGTCTAGAATTATATATATATATATATATATGTATGTATATATGTAGATATAAAATGAGCCAGGAACCTAAAACCAGTGAGCTTGATATTAGTAGAAGAAGCACAGTTTTTTTAATGCAGTCATAAATAGCTTTAGTTGTGCCTTAACATAGATCCAAACATTTTTCAAGGAGTTGAATGTATTTGAAAATTGAATTGCATCTTTTTTTCTGTACGTACACATTCAAATATTTGTATTTAAATAGAGTAAAGATATTGGTACCCCAATTCAGCAGTCTTAAAGGATTTACTCTTCTAGAAAGAGAATTATCACAACAAATGTTTAATGAGCACCTTCTCTGTATTGCATATAGGGAGGGTTAGGGGCACAGAATACAATGTAAAGAAATATATTACAATCTGCCCTTCTGTAAATGTCAGGAGAAAACAAGCAAGCAAATTCAATATAGCTTAATTAGGGCCACTATAGGGACAAATAAACTGTAAGGAGTGCTTCTAACCCAGGGCAAGTATCTTTTAAGCTGAAAACTGAAGCATCAATTTAAATTAGGCTGTTGACAAGAAAAGGGAAGAATGATTCAGGAAGAGGAACTGCATCTCTAAATGCCTGGATATCAGAAAGAGCATGATGAGTTTAGTACGCTGCAAGTAGTTTAATGCGACTGGAACAGAGAGTATGTAAGGTAACTGGTGCGAGTCCTGGGTTAATATGTTCATGACTTAGAAGGTAAAGGTCAGCCTACTAGACAGTATAAGTAGGTCATGAATAACTACACAAATATCTGAGGGACTGATAAAATGATATTTGTGATTTCATTGCGATCCTTGCATGCAGTTGTTAATCAAAGGGATTTGGATTTAAAATTGCAGTTATTCTTTGAAGGATGGAGAGACAGTGAGTTATTGATAATTTACTCATTTAATCAGTTTCAATAATTAAAGGCTAGTAGCTTTATATTAGATGCCTGAAGTGTAAATATATCAACTCATACACTTTAAAAAATACTGTACTTATAACGAAAGTGAATTTTCTGGGCTTTGTTATAGACACATCCTACATGAACTAGTTCCCTATCATCTGGCATCTAAATGTACTTTCATATTTTTATACCATATGTGATTTTTGCTTAATGAGGTTAGTGATCAAATAACAAAAAACTGGGACATTTTAGAAGTGTTACAAATAATTATACAAAGACATAAGGCATAAGCATAAACAGTTTTGGGTAAACTAAATGTATGATTTTTGTTCATAATGCTTATCATATTTTAAAATATGCTTAAATGATTACAATGTTTTTTTAAAATATTGTTTGGAAATGGAACTTATTTTTTTCAATTGCATATGTTTTAATCCTTCCATGTTCTAAAGTTTGTGTGTTAATCTATTTTTTGTCTTAGTTTCACCTTTGCATATTTATTTGTCAGCATCGTGAATAAATTATTGGCAAAAATACAAAGAATAAAAAGATGCAGCCGGGCTCAGTGGCTCAGTCTGTAATCCCACGCCTTTGGGAGGCTGAGGTGAGTGGATTGTCTGAGCCCGCGGGTTCAAGACCCGCCTGGGCAGCAAGACCTCATCTCTACAATAAACCAAAAAATCAGCCAGGCGTGGTAGCGCGCGCCTGTAATTCCGGCTACTTGGAAGGCTGAGGAGGAAAGATCACCGGAGCCCAGCAGGTCAAGGCTGCAGTGACCGGGAGTAGCCACTGTACTCCAGTCTGGGTGACTGAGTGAGACTCCAACTCGGGAAAAAAAAAAAAAAAAGATGATACATCTCTAATTTGTGGCACTTGTCAGCTATTAAGTGTTGTTAAAAGCTGAATTCTTCAAAGTCTAGGGGAAAATACTTCATTTTTTTTTTTAGCTTCCGAAACAGAAATTGGAACCAATTCCAAAAAAACTTTTATGGCCAAAGGAAAAAAAAAAATGAAGCATTATTAAAACTAAAAAGGGAAGAAGTTGAAAGACTTACTATTACCGAGGAAAACTGCCAGATTGTAGCATTTCAATTGTCCCCTGAACAATCCCACAACACTCAGCTATTATTCAAGCAGGTAGCACATTATTATTCTTACAGATTAATACCTTTGCTTATTATCCCCTTGACTGCACACAAAACACAGTAATTTGAATCTAATAATGTCTATAGAAACGTAAATTAATAATAGAATGTGTTATTAAAACAAAAATTCTCTGATCTGTTCTAATTGATTTTTTTTTTTTTTTTATAATTGATGGACTGAGTTACACTGTACCCAAGTACATCAGGACAGTTGAATTTAATAATACAGGAAAAAAATTGGTTTCTGGTTTCCTATGAGGCAGTTTGAAAACAGTGCTTTGTCCAGCATCTTAACTCCCACACAGAGATGTACCACAGGACTCCAGGTAGAGACACATAGGCAATCAATATGCATTTTGGAGTTCTATATTGTTTCATGATAATTAAAATAGTCAAAGCAAGAAGATGACTCTCATGCATGACCATTAATATATGTGGTAAAAGTAGTGTTTCTTTGCTGAATAACTCCAAACCTTTACTGAATGAAATCCAAGGAAGCCAGAACCATCCATCAGGCTTTCTCTGTGGTCTGGCTCTATACCTCATTTCCCTGTTAACAGCTTGTAGCCTGCTACTTTATGCCTCCAAGCTTTTACTTCTGTTCTTCCTTATGTTCAAACATATTTTTCCTTTTTATTCATTGGCCAGACCCTTTCGATTCAGCCACAATTAGCTTCAGGTAATCTCCCACAAATCTTCCCTGAATCTCCAGATTAATTTAAAGGCCCCTATTCTATGCGTTGTTAGCACTTTTTACATTTTTCCTTTTGCTATTTGGGTTATATTTCCTGCATCTGCTTATTTTATTATTTCCCCTTCTAGACTATAAATTTTTCAAAAACAAAGGACCACTAAATAAACACAGGTTGTGGCTTGTACACTATAATTGATGCGAAAAACATAACTCCTAATTTATGCTCAAATTAAATGCATGTGTGCATAACATTGTTTGCAATTGGACTTCTTGAAAGTTAAACCAGACAGCCCTTCTAAGAAACTGTATATCTGTAAAGAGAGAAGAGCAAGCCAGGCTCAGTGGCTCAGCCTGTAATCCCGCGCCTTTGGGAGGCTGAGGTGAGTGGATTGCCTGAGGCCGAGGGTTCGAGACCCGCCTGGGCAGCGAGACCTCATCTCTACAATAAATCAAAACATCAGCCGGGCGTGGTAGCGCATGCCTGTAATTCCGGCTACTTGGAAGGTTGAGGCGGAAGGATCACCAGAGCCCAGCAGGTTGAGGCTGCGGTGGCCGGGAGCAGCCACTGCACTCCAGTTTGAGTGACAGAGTGAGACTCCAACTCAAAAAAAAAAAAAAAAAAAGAGAGAAAAGAGCATGACTTTAACGTTGGTAAAACAAAATTTGCATGACAATTCTGCCCCTTATTAGTAATGTGATGCTAAGCTAATCACTTATTTTATCTGAGTTTTAGGTTCTACATTTTGTGCAAATGAGGACACTACTAAGGTTGTGGCAAAAATTCAGTGGAAGATATACATAAAGTCACTTGCATAATGTTCATGCTCAGTAAGCTTCTTTACCTTACTTCCCTTTTAATAATTTAAATTTTACAAAAGTAAAAAAAATACCATAAGATTACATTTCTAGAGAATTTTCTTTTGTAAACTTAACTATGGGAAAAATTATGTACTACATACTAAACCTATGCTATCTTTGCTTTTTTTTTTTAACTAATAATGTTCTCCCTGCGCCCAACTCTGCTTAGCCGTTTTCCTACTTTTATTTCACTGCCCAGCTTAAACATCACTTTATCATGAATTTCGTCAGAATTCATTAAAGGATTGTCTGGATCTCTACAGGATCTCTTACATGATTTCATTAAAATATATTAGATATTATTATCAAAATTGTAATGCCAAATAAATTAACCCTGACTTAAGTTTTTCATGGCTAAGGTCATCTCTCAACATAAAGAAAATAAGGAGACGTACATTGAAAGATTTCTGGATAAGTAAGACTGTTCATTTTTATGTTAGAAAAACCAGCAACTTTAAAAAAATACATTAAAATAAAAAAATAATAATTCAGAGAAAATAAATAATAGTTAAAATAAAAAATATAAATCAAGTATGTTTTAGATACGTTTATTAGATATGCTTTTGTGGTCAAAAACTAATTTCTTTGAGTAGAAAAACAAATGAAAGAGAATGTAATGAATTATGTGGAATTAAATATACATTTGACTAGTTCATTTATTATAAATAAACATATTTATTATTTTTATCACATAGTACTATAAAAGCCTTTTTTAAAAGAAAAGCAATACAATGTATTCAAATTGTATTTTATATGGTTCTTTTAACAAAGAATTGGCTAATTGTTATCCACAGCAATTTAAATTTTTATAACATAAAAGTACCTACAGGAGCCCCAACAGATTTATTTGATTAGCAGTTCATAAACACAAGGAAATAAGACATTAGTTTAATTTACCTTAATAACCAAATCAAATTTCTGGTGAAAGTCTCTGTTTACTGGCTCCAGGAGACTAAGTTCTGCAGTCCTAGGATGCATGTGGAAAAATCGTGGATAATCCTCAGGAGTCCCTGAAAGACATCAATATTTCAGCACATAATGGAAAACAATAAGCAACATGTGTATCTGCTTTCATCTATTTCCCTTCATTAACTGAGACACAAAATTACAACTTCATTAGTAAATTAAGTTTCAAATTTATGTAGTCTATGGAAAGCAGACACAAATGTGGTATATAATTAACTAGCATTTGAGTAAGAAAATGAAAAATATTTGTTTGGATGGTTCTACAATTTTTTTTAATTAAAAGAACTCTTTAATTAATTTGAAACTTCATAACATAAAAAGAGATATTAAATGGAAAGAAAACCAATTTCATATTATAACATTGCATTTTAATGGCACATAGATCTTCATGATATCCTGCATGGTCTTTCAGCATATCTTGCAATAAATAAAAATTAGAAATTTGTACCAAATATCAAGATGCTTGAAAATTAGTATGAACATATTTTGTTCCATCTAGGCAAATATTTTCAACACATTGACACACATTTCTTCTTAAATAAATTTCTCTCAGTTGCATTATCTTACTTTGTGTACTGTAACATTAATTTTTCCAAAGTGAAAAAACCAGAAATCAAATGATAGACCTGTACAATATATACATCCATAGAAACAATAACCACAAGAGTAAAATAACATCCAATCATTGAAGCCTACTATGTGTTAAATGATTTATATTCAAAATCATGAATAATTCTTTAAATCATTTCCATTTTACAGATGGGAACTGAAGACATTTAAGAGATTAAATAACTTATCCAAGTCAAAGACACAATCGGAGACAGAGCACACATTGAAATCTAGGCTGCCAGATGTAAAACATACCCAAAAATTATTATCTTTTTTTGCTACCAATCCTTTGCCTAAATTCAGACAAGAAAGGAAATTCTCCTGAATTTATATGACAAGAAAAATTTATATGAAAATTTATATAAAAAAAACAAGAAACAAAAATGTATACCATTAATACGCCATTAATAACAGACTGAAAAATCTAGAAATAGTCAAAATTACAGATAAAATTTAATATGTGATAAAGGAATTATCTCTTCTAATGACAGAGATACAGAAAATGATAGAATTTAATCCATTTTTCATGTACTATACTAGAATAAATCTTAAATGGAAAAGATAGTCATGTATGAGGGGGAACCACAAAAAACCCAGACTTGATAAAAAAAAAAAAAAAAGTTCTGTATTTATCCTTACATGTTTAAACTTCAGTCACCTTCAAAGTACTTTTTATCTGATGCAATACACCTGTGGAGATGCTTTTTCCACTGCTCAAAACAGTTTTAGAACTTGTCAATTTCTATACCTTTTAGTGCTTCTGCTATTTTTTGTTTCGTCTTTCTTACATCAGTAGTCCCCTTTGAGGACTTTTATCACCCGGGAAAAAACAAACAAAAAAGTCACTAGAGGGAGAGTTCAGGTAAATAGGGATGGTTGTGTACATGGGTCATGACATTTTGGGTCAAAAACTGATGGACGATCAGCCCGGTGTGGGCAGGTGCGCCTGTACATCGCCCATAAAGAAATGGGCTTTGAAAGAATCTTAAAAAAAAAAAAAAAAATTACTGAAACCGAACAGGCTCCCACAACAACACAAGGTGATACACTGATGCAGATGGTTCCTAGAACACTTACCTAATACATGTGGATTTATCAATTAACTAAGAAAAAAAGGTCAGTAATGTATTAAAAAAGATTGGTAGTTGAGAATGAATAGACAGTTGACTGAAAGAGAATGGAAAATGATTCTTGATTATAAACAGAAGTGTTCACCACTCTACACAAAAAGAACAATACTTAAAATTACACTAAGATTCCATTTGTGACTTGTGACTTGATCAACTGGTCTAGTCAGACACAATACTGTCTTGGTGAGCGACATAAAATCAGGTACTTTTGGTCATGGGTCAGGTTAATAAAAGATGCTATAAAACTTATAAAGAAGAATTGGGCAGGGTCTGCCAAAATCATCAGTATTTACTCTTTGACCCAGAAATCCTGCTTCTGGGATCTTTAAAATAGCCACTTGAATATACATCAATAGTGGTTTGGCTGAATAAATGATGATACATCCTAAAACAGATGATAATTCAAATGTGAAGATGAATGATAGATATTTTTATCATTACTATAAAACTATTATAAGATAAATTAAATGACAACAGAGATTTGGAAAACATAACATGATAGTATTTTAAGTTTTAAGAAAAAGAACACACACATATATGAGAGGGAATACATATGAATATTTTAAAAAATAAAAACTAAATTATAACATAAAATTGTTACATATGAAAGAGAAAAAGGAGCAAGGAATATGTGGAGGGAATAGGGATTAGAGTTAAACTTCATTAACTTTATCACTTTTTTTGTTTTAGAGCCACATAAATGCTATATATTATTATAAAACTACTTAAATTTAAGAAAATCTCAAAAAATGAAATAAATCAGTCTAAATGTGAATTTAGTTTGTGACATAAGCAAAAACAGAAAAGAACTACCTCAACTCTGAAACAAGAAGGGAAAATTTCCTGGGCATTAAGTGAGGGGGAAATCCCCCCTCCCCAATTTTATGCCATTAAAATAGTCTGAAAAATTTTAAAATAGTCAAAATTACAGTTGGAATTTAGGAGTTTTCCCTTCTAACAGCAAAGTCATACAGAAAAGTTTGGAATTTTATCCATTCTTTGTATAATAGATTAGAATAAACTTCAAATGGAGAAGACATTCATATATAAGAAATAATAAAACTTTATAAGTGCTAGTCACTAGACTTTAAAAGATAGAAACCAGACATCACACCCTCAGAGTATATTGCCTTAGAACAATAAAAATCATAAGAAACAAAAAAATTAAACTTGGTGGTAGCGTTGATGTTATTATACTAAGATAGTTGTGGCAGTATTAGACAATGAATTAATTGTGTACAGAATTATGTGGTATGTCAATTCTATTATTCTCAGTTTTGAAAACTGAATTCTTGGTAAAGGGAAGTAAGGAGATCCAAATGTAAAATTAAACAAGTTAAATAAAGCACTTTAAGTTTTGATTTTTGAATTGGCAGTGGAGTTTAAATTCAGGTTGTAATTTATCTTAAGAAAATATGCACAACATAGCACTGAATGCTGAAACAAAGAACTAAAATGGTCAACTTACAAGCAATGAACAACTTTAATGGGAAGAATGTTGTTTGGAAATACCTTGACCACTAAAAGCAATTAAATTTCTGAAAAAATAATTAATCCAGGTCCAGGACAGGAAATCAACAAGATAACTATGAAATACCTGGTCACAGTCAATAGCAAGAAAGATATCCAGTATTACTAAACTGGATTAGATTAATAGTTTCAAATTTTCTTAAGCCAAAGGAAGAGTTTTGTTTTGTTTCGCTTTGCCTAAAGTTGGGAAAATTTGAGCATTAATAAGGATAAACCTGTAAAAACCTGAGCAGATCAAGTATATTTAAATTCATAAGTCCATGACAGTGTTAAAAAACACATTATTTGTCATCTTTGGAGGAGGCTAGGATACTATATCTTCTACTACCAAAAATATAAATAGCATAATGAATTTCAAAATTATATCTATTATGTTATCAGAATTAGTGGTGTCAAAACCTCTATTGTTATGTATACTAGAAGTATTCTACATTTGCACTTTTGTAATTTTGTGGAAAAAATGACAACTTAAATTAACGCCTTAGTGAAAAGTTTATAATTTTGGATATTATAATTCTTCTGGAGGTTTTAGATAAAATTGGTACATTATAAACTTTGTGTGTTTAAGATGTGTAATTTTGTGTTGATCAAGATAGCACTAATATAATTACGATAATGATCCTATCCATCAATACCAAAGTTTCTTCATAACTCTATTATCTCTCCTCTCCCTATCTATATCCCTCACGTCTTGCAACCATCCATCGCTTTCTGTCACTATAGATGATTTTTTATTTTTCTACAAAAGCAAAATGGAATTATTTATGCAACAGGTACTCTTTTGATGAAGGGCATATTGTGTTTGACTTCTTTCACTTAGCATAATGACTTTGAGACCCATGTTGTTTTGTATATCAATAATTCACTAATTTTTACTCTTTGAGTATTATTTTATTGTATGTATTTGTGATAATTTATTTATTCACATGCTGATGGATGTTAGAGTTGCGTTTATTTACAAATAAAGCTGCTATCAACATTCTTGTACATATCTCTGAATTAATGTATGCTTTCATTTTTCATGGGTAAATATCTAGGAACAAAATGGTTAGATTATATGATATGTGTATGTCTAAATGTCTTAGTTACTTTTGGGTGGAGGTTCAACTCTCTAAATTTCTAGTTATTTATAAGTTTGTGTAATCTCCAACACAATTAGGTTTAAAAATGTTTGTATGATCAAATAGCACATTTGTGTTTTCCTTACCCAAATTCCAATTCTTAATCAACCGCTGATTTGTTCACCATCACTGTACTTTAATCTTTTTGATAATGCCATTTAGGTAGAATTATTACTGTCTGTATATTTGGAAATTGACTTCTGTCAACCCAATGTAAAGCATTACAGATTCATCCAAATTGCTGGGTCTACCAATAAAACTATCTTTTCATTGTTGAGTAATGTTTAACTTTTTAAGAAATTGCTAAACTATTTTTCCAATGTGTCTGTTCCAATGTGTCCATTTTATATTCTCACCAGCAGTGTATGTAGTTCCATATCCTCTATATCTTCACCCACACTTGATATATTCAGTCATTTTAAGTTTTAGCCATCCTAGTGACTACATGATGGTATTCATTGAGGTTGTAATTTGCATTTCCTCCATGATAATATTCATTGAGGTTGTAATTTGCTACATGATGGTATTCATTGAGGTTGTAATTTGCAATAGCTAATAAAATTGAGCAACTTTTCATTCTTATTTCATTTGCATATCTTCTATAATATAGAATTTGTTCATACTATTTACATTTTGTCATTAAATTGTTTGCCTCATTTTTCTCAAATAGTGTTTTTATATATTCCCAACACAAGTCATTTGCTGGACTTATGTTTTTCAGATATAATCTGTTTTCTGTCACTTGACTTTTCAAACTATTATCAATGTCTTTGGAAGAGCAAATACATTATTTTGATGTCATTTAAAATTTTTTCCTTTTATATGCTTACGTTTTAGTGTATTTAAGAAATTATTGCCAGTTCTAATGTTGCTAAATTTTCACTAATGATGTCTTTTAAATGCTTTATAGTTTTAACTACCACATTTGGATATATGAAGTCTTTCAAGTTGATTTTTGTACATTGTATGAAGTATGGAATGAGTTTTATTTATTTAAGTATGACTATTTAATTGCTTTCCAAGACTGGTTGCAAATATTAACTTTTCCTCTTTTAATTTGCCTAGTACTTCATGTCATTTTAAAAAGTCTATATATATTAATAGATTTTTTTATGAGCTGCATTTACCCATCACTTATGAGTATGGTATTTCTGATTATCTAGGTATAACTGGATGAAAAATGGATGCCTGACCTAAACTATATAATTATCAGTCCTCTTTAAGCAATTTTTACTTAGAATAAAAGATTAAAAGATGGGCGTGACATCTGAACCAGCAAAAACAGGCCTGTAGAGGAAAGATCCTTTAATCCCTCTTGTTGAAATTGCTATTTTTGTTCCTTAAAATGCTATATTTTTCTACAATTCTTTGAATTCTGGAAGAAATCAAAGTCTTTCCAGTAAATTTTCTTTACTGCCAAGTCCACTTGATTGTTTTTTACCACCGATGTCCCATTCAAGAAAGCATTTGTTTTTAATGGTTGACACGATGGAAAATGTCCATCCAACATACTGCAAAGATGTGCTTATCTCAAACAGAGAATCAAACATTTTTTTCCTTTCTATTAAGAATGAAAACCTTCACATATAATATTTAATTAGCAGTTTGATACACACAGAAATATGAGAGAATGCTGTCAACTAGCTGCCAAAATTTTATGGTTATCCTTCAAATTTTGACATTGTAGATATGCAAGAATTTATGATCATTCTCAGACAAATGTACTACTGAATACACCCACAATTTTCTTTGGTAGAATAAAGCAATTGTGATATGCCATTTATCTCCAGATAATTTTCTATGAAAACCTTTTAGTGACCCTTGAATGCTGAGTATCTTGTAGAAGTCAAGAGTTTTGGAGTATAAAAACATTGTCCAAGGACAAAAGCACATTTCTAAGATCAAGGTCTCTAAAAATTCACTTAATGTATCCCATTTGGAAAGTGTGCTATGCACTCTATTTAGCAGAGCATAATTAATCTAAAAATATGACTTCTTTTGAAACATCTCCAGGGCTCCAGGTTTTCTTTATCTAGTTTTTTTTTAATTTAATCTTAGGGTTAATTGGTCTAATATTACCCTAATACTCAAGTCACCTGCTACCTTTTCACATAATTAAAATTTTGCTGAAAATTTTAACCATATTTTCTCCTATGCTTTAAAAGCACATTTC